GGTCCCTGATGCTTTTGCTAAGCTTGTTCTAAGTAGGTGCCTTAGACCACTGAGCCATCTCTCCAGCCCCTGTAGTTTAATTCTTGATAATCTCCTAGCAACGTTATTTTTAATAAAGAAGTTAAAACACATGGCAAATTCTAAGTGGGCTCCTAGGCTGAACAGACTGGAATAGTTACGGACTGCCACACATCCTACTTGCTCAAGGTTAGGCTGAGAAAATGAGTAATAGTGCTAACTTGTCTATCTATACCATAGTCAGCTGTGATCACTTCAACCAAGTTCCCTATAAATGAGGGCTATATTATTTTTAAAAAGTTGGCTATGATTCTTAAGAATAACATGGCAATTAATAGTATTAACTGCAAGGGAAAAAATCAATCATAGTTTTGAAAACTTGGCTACAGGTGAAGATAAGGCAACAGTAAGCAAAACAATTGTTTTCCAAGAACTTCATAGTTTCCAAATAATCTTCCTCTGCCTTTTTGAGCACCCATTCCCCACATGCAGTCAATATTGTGCAGTTTTTCTTGCCAACCTCCTCACATTAAGAGTGAAAGGGCTCTTACCCTAGCTATTTACATTATTTGCACACACATACAAACATTTCTAATGTTGTTTTAAATAACTGGAAACATCCTTGTTTAAGATTTTAAAAATACAGTCAAACAAACACCAAGTCAGAACAAGGAAGCATCCTTTCCCTGTCCCTGTGGTGTCCAGATCCCAAAGTGGAGCCTGAGAGGCCCTTCGTGGCTGGCACAGCCTGTCCCTGAGAGCTAAGAACATAGCCTGTGCTCCTTCCCAGCTCTGTACCAGGTCACCCCTGTAGTCTTATGCTCCCCTTTTCCTACCCAAAGGCAGGTCCTTCATCTTCCTAACACTGGCCAGACAATGATCTCTACTGTAAATTCCTAGAATAAAAAGTCAATGTATCTCCTCTCGTGCCCAGGACTCTTACAGGCAGATATATGAGTACCTGTAAGTAACAAGGCATTATGTGTACTTATTAATGAGCATTTTGTTTTTGTGTTTGAAACAGGGTCTCATTATGTAGCCCAAACTGGCCTTGAACTCACAGCAAACCTCTTGCCTCAGCCTACCCAGTGCGGGGATTATAGGTGTGCGCCCCCAAGCTCAGCTTTCATGATTATGACTTTAAATGATAATTTAATCTCCACTTTTTTAAACCCAATAAACTTTTCTTTGTTACTCTGTTTGGTAATGAAATTTCTTTTTTTTTTTTTTTTTTGCGGAACCTGGGATTGAACTCAGGCCCTTGCACTTGCCAGGCAAGTGTTTATTCCACTGAGCCATCTCCCCAGCCCCGGTAATGAAATTTCTAGTTTCTATAAAGAAATATATTTTTTATTTTTATTTTTTTTTTAAGAAATATATTTTTTAAAGCTTCATTTTAATGAACAGAAATATTTTTCTGAATCAAACTAACCATTTTTCATCTATAATTTATTTCTGGTATCTAAATCAGGAGGTTTTTTTTTAAAGTCAGGAGTTCTTAACCTTTTTTGTCATGGATATTTTGAGAGTGAAAACTACTAACTTCTCTGTAGAAATCATCACACACACACACACTCACACACAATTTTACAGATAGATTTGGATAAAAAAATTCTCTTGAGGTTCATCCATGAGGCCCATGGTTTAGAATCTCTACTTCAAGTGAATTTAACAGCCTTATTTTTGTTCCTGATAAAGTAATTTTGTCCCCAAAATCATTAATTTATAAGATCTCTTATGATTACATTCATTTTTTCTAATTATTTATAAATTATTGGTTAAAATAAAAAAGTGAGAAAATGGACCATCTCTCACATTTGTAAGTTCACTGCCATCTTCTACTAGGAAACAGCAAAGCTAAAAGACCTATAATGTGATCAAATCTATGCAGGCCTAATCAGTGCCATGCTTTAATAAAATATATCTATAATTTACATGAACCACCCCAATTCTACATTAAAAATATGTAAAGGACCTAGCATAGAACACATGTTCATCAATATTTTTGCTGTTGTTAATGAAAGACAAGGATATTAAAATACTAAAAATTTCTAAGTTATCAATCTAATCACTCAGAAGCTCTTAGGTGAATTTATAATTACCAAAGCAAATTCTATTTCTATGAATATACATCTACTTACCATAGTGAGTATATATTTATCTTTGTTTGCCTTTTAGTTACTTTTAAAGGAGTCAGGCAATCAATAATCATAGTGTAATTTTTGGAGATCTTGTTCAGTGACAATAACTACTGCAAATGATACTTTCTTACCAAAAACTCTGTACAAGAATGATTTTTATTCCCTGTAAATATAAACCATGCCAACTATTTTCACTGTCAGATTAAAAATTAAGTATTAAAATATGCACACTGTCCTGAGGGGGGCTGCTGGGCACATAGAAGAATGCAGAACTCTCACCTGTAATGTACATGTGTGACCGTTGGTTTCCTGTATCCAAGGATCCAGGTTTGAATATCTAAAAGCTCACCTTTGGGATAAGCTATGGTTGTATCTATTATCCACTGGAGGCCTTTTGATTTGCTCTCTAAGAACAAAGAACACAATAGCTTAAAGTTGATCAATTCTTGTTTGCAACAAATAACAGTACAGATGACTTGCACAGTGTAAAACTCATCAATGTACCTTCTACTGTGAAAAAAACAAGATGAACTGTGGTGTTCATGTTCTGTAACACACTTAGGATTACGTCAAGGATTTTTTACTATGTTCTACTATGTTAAAAGCTAGTCTTTATTTAAGGATTTTAGAATACTACTCTAAAGAGAAGAAAAAAATATCTGTAAAATAATATTCTAAAAATAACACTCACTCATTTACTGAGACAGGGGCTCGGTAGGTATTCCAAGCTGGCCTGCAATGCGTGGTGATCCTCCTGCCTCAGCTGTCCAACTACTGAAGGTACAAGCATACAGCTTATAAAGCTATGTCCAGGTTTAAAGTCACATCTGGCTTAAAAATAAGTCACCTTAAAATAATATAGTAGCACTAAAGGGCCGTGTTTATGTAAAGAAATACACTGCAACAAGCTTCCAGTGATACATATGCTGAAATGTTTAGGGGTGAAGCATACTATGTTGAGAAGCGTTAAAAATCAAAGAAGATGGATAAGTGGATAAACGACCTTCCACAGATTAGAGATGTGCTAGCCTAAGTAAATACAGCATGAAATGCCATAGAATGCAGTTGCTCATGGGTATTCTTTCAACTTCCACATGAGTTTGGAAAGATTTACAATGAACTAGGGGAAGAAATTACCCTGGTTCAGTTTAGTATCTGCTATATCATAAACATACAAAAGATACACTTTTAAGTTAATCAAGCGCTGGGGAGATAGCTCAGTAGAGTAAGTGCTTGCCTGGCAAGTGTAAGGTCCCAAGTTCAATCCCCACTACCACAAATAAATAAATAAATAAATAAATAGATAAAATGAAGTTAATTAAATAGAATTTAGTTTTAATATGTGTATATATCAGAAAACAACCACAGGGATAAAATCCTAGTAAGTGTGAACTCTTAAGAAAAACAAAATGCAAAATACCAAGCCACAGAAAAGAATACAATAAAGCACAAGACAACCAGCTTTCAGGTATACTGATGATCTCTCCAGCACAGCTAGAAGTAATGAGGCAGGACAAATACAGAGTACCTTCCACAAGGGCCTCAGAGTGCAGGCTCTCGGAGCCTTTCTGCGGAGCCTGGCTCTCAATTCAGCTTGGCTGACACTGCTATGGTGTCTTTGTGGCACCAGAGCTATTCTCAACTTTCCTTTTCTATTAAATGACTTCATTTGTCTTTTTAATAGATGATGAAGACCGGAGAGATACTGCAGTAGACTAAGCAACTGTTTAGGTAAGCACAGGAACAGGAGTTCGATCCCCAGCACCACACGACACACGGGCCCTGACCCCAGGCACACGGAGCTGGCCATGGAGACTGGGCATGGTGGCACATGCCTGTAATCCCAGCCCTCGGCAGGGCTGAAAACAAGAGGATCACTATGAGTCCGAGCTGCATAGTGAGACCCTGTACCAAATACATTTAAAAAAAGAAAAAAAAAAAAGATGGAAGATTACAAGCACTACCTGCCAAGCAGCTGCCTGAAGAAAACAATGAAAGCAAGATTTGCTGCAGCCTCATGGGCATCATTTCCCCATCCTCCATTTAAAACAGACTGGGAGAGCCACATCTTTTAATTTTTCTTAATTTAAGAATATCAAAATAGCAAAATGCAACTAAGGAAACAGGTCTAGTGAAATTCTTTTGTCTTCTTACTAGGCCATCTCCAAGAAACTTGTTTGAGTGTGGCTTACTCTTTCCTGGCTGTAAAGGTAATACATACTCATTACTTAAAGAATTGGAAAATTCAGAAAAATATTAAGAAACAGAGGCCACCACGTTACAACTCAGAGGAATTATTGCCACTCACACTTCGGTCCCCTCCACTTGTTTCCTGCTGCTTACCTGTGTAGAACTGAGCGCATAAAGTCTTTACCGGAGCTGTTGGACCCCATCCTATGACCATTATAGCATAAGCACTTTGCCACGCCAAACCCCTCCAGAAATACCATCTGCAATAGTTGTACTGTAGTCTGTATATTTGATAATTATTTATCCATTCTCTCCTGGCTATTTCTAATGTTTTGTTGTTACAAATAATGCCACAGTAAATCTCTTTGCCTACACTACACATTATTTCCTTTTGACAAGTATTATTTGTAAAGAAATAATGAGATCATTTATTAACATCTTAGGAGTCTTAGTAAATACAGCCAAACTACATTAAATTTATCTTTTGAGTTAAAAACAAACACAAAATTTCTAAATTGACAAATGATAAGTTAAAATGTTTACTTTCATATCACTGAATGTTAGCTCTGACAAAACTATAAAAAAAACAACAATTTACCTTTCAATTAGAACAAGTAAGAAATGTTGAAAACCATCATACCTAGCTCTTTAGCATCTCCTCCTGCTGGACTTCCATTTTCCTGTCGCGCTACAAGTGCACTCAAAATAATTTGTGTCGCCCCAACCCGTGGCAAGGTAACATGTGTAAGAAATGGCAAGTTATTTTTCTTGGCAAATGCCTGACTTGTTTCTCTCCTCTTCCTCAGGAAGCCTCCTTCCGGAAATAAAACAATCCATTTCCGATCTCTGCTTCTATAATTATTTTCTAGGTGCTTTTTGAGAAGCACCAGCTGTTGGTCACGATGAGATTTTCCCTAGAAGGCAGACACAGGGTCAGGACAGGTACACAGGAAATGGAAATACGAAAGTAAGATTACAAGTGATAGCTGGACACGGTGGCGTAGGCCTGTAATCCCACACTAGGGAAGTTGAGGTAGGAAGATCCCTGCTACCTTGAGGCCAGCCTGCACTACAAAGTGAAACCCTGTCTCAAAAAACCAAACCCATTAACCACTAAGAAGAATGTATGCACTGTGTTGATTATTGAACAAAAAAAATAATAAATCATTTATTGATTTAAAAAATTTAGAAATCTACTCATATACAACATTGGAGCAACTGTGTCTGTAAGCACAAGGGAAAATATGTATTTATGTATATATACACGAAAAAAATAAAGTTTAATATATCAATACTTGGAAAAAAAAACCAAACCCAATGCAAATACAGTAATAACCACTTCTAAATTTAAATCTAATCACAGAATAGTCACCCCATCACTAATTCCCATTTTTGAATTCAGTGGTAAAAAAAAAAAAGGGCAATTTGATTAGCACTTATAGACAGATTTTTTTTCTAAAGGACACAATTTGCTCTAATTGCCTTGAAAGCACAGTCACTTCAATTCAATGACTATGCACCGAGTGATTCTTACTACCAAACACTGTATCAGATGTGAGAGAGAGCAGGATGTCTTCAGAGAGCTGCTATCTTACTTTGGGAAGTGGTAAGTAAGGAGTGCAGTCTCAACTGGTGCTATGTTAGGCAGAAAAAGACAATGAGAACAGAAAGAGTCAAGGTCAGGGAAGTTGGGTGTTCTGGCACACACCTGTAATCCCAGCACTCCTGGAAGGCTGAGGCAGGAGGACTGCAGGTTGAAGGCCAATCTGGGCCACCTGGTAATATCCTGTCTCAAAAAATATGAAAAGAGCCAGGGACACAGTTCAATGTGAAGGCCCTGGGTGCAATCCTCTCAATTGGTCTGACAAGGTGACATCTGTGAAAGAAAAGCTAGATGAAGATGGGGACAGGCACGCTCCAAGTGTGAGGAGCAAAGGGGCAAAGACCCACAGGTGGGAACAAGGCTGGCACATTCAAACAATAGCAGGTCAGCATGGCAGGTGTCAGTGATCAGACAGGGCAGAGCAGAGGCACAGAGACCACATCAAAAGGACCTTGTGCGTGGGTAAATAGTTTGGGACAAGAAATGACTGGACAATTTTCAACAAAAGTCATTAATATTCACATTTGAAAATTCTGCTGGCTCCTATGAAAGGAGCACTAGAAAAGATATGGGCAACTGCAATAGCCCACACAACGGACCTGGATGAGATTCAGTCACAGGGTCCTCAGGAAATGCAGTGCAGTCAGGGAGAGATGTGAAAGCTAAAGTAATGAGGTACTGTAATGGGCTGATCTGAGCTGTGAGGGAAAAGAGGAAACAGGATGGAGTGCAGACTGAACACCAGGATCCAGAGAAGTCTGCAGGAAGACCCAAAACCTATAATCAAGCATCATAAAGGTCCTTCCTCTCAAAAGGACTGATTTCTTCATATTTTCCAACCAACACAATTGTAGAAGCTCCACAAAATAATCAGTATGCTTTCATTCTTCAGACTAAATGTATCCCAAATGCAAAACAAAGATCATTTTTAGCTAACTCAACTGATTAAAATAGGTTTTAAGTTTCTAAAGCTATATGTGAAATATTTTTATTATGCTTGGAAGATCTACTCAAAAAAATGGTTTAGAAGCACAGTCCCAGGAGATTTTTTAAGACAATGTTTTTTTCTATTCCACCCTCACCTTGCCTCATGTTATAATTTTTATTACTAATCTCTGAGAGAAAATGTCGCTGAGAAACAAATTTGCAAATCACTCGGGTACCTTGAAAAACCAGTCTTTATGCATGTAAAATTTGCATCTCAGTAACAAGGAAAATATACCAGAGCACACAGGCTTTCACTGCTATCTTCCACTAAGAACACTGGTTTTGTCTTGGTATGTGAGGGTCATCATTAGGACCAACGGCTGCATGCACTAGAAGCCAGACCTCATGCTGCAAGCAGGGACTCGGTTAATTTTCCTCTAGGTCCCTCTTAGCTGCTAAGCTTCCTGTTGATTCAGTAGCCTTCTTTGAGGTGTTGGGCTCAGGTCTTTATTAAGTTGTTCTGCTCACTGTTCACTCTGTCTTGACCTCATAGCCAGTCCCTATCACCATTTCCTTCTAAGGCCCCAATCCATGATTCTATTTATTTTCTCCCTGGGACATCAGCAAGAATGTTTCCAGAAGAAATCAGAGGGGGCATGGCCCTAGCTCAGGCCTTTAAGTGGCTGCTTCCACAAAGCTCTCAGCCTCAGGTTGCTGGAGTTCGAACCTCACAACTCTCCCGCTGGCCAAAAGTGCCCTGAAGCCATTCGAGGAACCAAAAAAAAAAAAAAAAAAAGAAGAAATCAGAGCATCGCAGCACACAAACAAAAGCATGTACGTAAAACTGTGTAGAGCAAAGTAAATGTGTTTATGACACCCAATTTCATACAGTTTAGAAGTTCTCTCATCATTTCTAGCTTATTTCTAAATTTGTGCTGCTTAGAAGCAGCTTCATTCCATTTGTCAGGTACTCATTCAGTACTTATGTGCAAAGCACTGCACAACCCAGGTTAAAACTGCTAACTTATAAACACCAAGTAACTATCACACGACTACACATAAAAACTTCTGTATTGCACTTTGGGTTTCTTTTTAGGAGAAAATGAAGTGTGTGATGCTGTTAGCATACTAGGCCAAAAATGATTCTTCTTCCTAAAGTATGCCTTACACCTTTTTGGACCCTTCCTAGTGTACCTTCGTCCCTCAATTCCATACCTACGCTTTAATTTTTTTTAGTTAATTTTACTGAGAAAGAAATAGCAATGAGACAGTTTCAAAACAGGTTAGTAGGACAGTTACAATAATTAATACATTGCATATTGTCTTCGTAGTAGTTATTCATAGTACAAGATGTAGACATGGTATCTTTCTAAACACTATTAGTACAAATCTTCTCATTGAACTAAGATTCTACTCTTTAAAATTTAGGTCAAAATACTGTTTTCTCTGGTAACATTTTTCTTGTTTTGCAAAAATTATTGTGAATTCCCATGTTTCCTATTATTAACTAATTAGATAGTCTCCCTCCTGGTAACTGAGGTATCTTCTGTATCACATAACAGGACCCAATAAATAACAGTACCAGTGGTAATACAGCTATGTGATGGAGATGGTCATAACAAAAATGACGGTGGAGGTCACAGGGCCTGCTCCAGGTGCTTCATGTGTCCTGCACAATCCCTGCAACTGATCGAGGGAGGAACTTTCAGCATGACCATAATCTGCCCCATTCACACAGCTAAAAAGCTGAAGAACAAAGGAATGTGGCAGATGCAAGCTAAATGTTTACTAAACTGACGTATCTCCAGATGAGAGTAGAGATTACTTTTTGCTGAGGTGTCCTCAAATTCAGACAGAAATGAATGCTTAGGAAATGAAGACTCAGAGGAGCCCCTCCACACTCTGGAAACAGCTCTACTTACTGCAGCTGGTTCTATTCTGCCCCTCTGAGGGGTCTGACTGATAAGGCCACTACCATGAAGAGAATGCCCATCACTCACCTGCCTTATAAAGAAGTCTCCATGAATTAGAGAAACAATTCCGAAGTTGGTATACTTAAAAATATGATCCATCAACCACATCATTTGAGCAACAACCTACAATATTTAAAAGCAAGAGATAAGTAAAAACCATCTGACTACAGTGCAGTCAAGTCTCCCAAGTTTTAAATATAATTATCCAGATATATTAGATATATTCTTAATTAACCTAAATATTTTAAATGCTCTGTCTACATTTATAATATGGTTACTAACAGCATATAGGTCTTAATTTCAAGGGTTGGAATCCTGTCTCATTCATTATATATGTAATATATATGGATAGATATATGTGATGTCCATATATACACATAAGCTATAAATATATATATATACATATAATTATATAATAAATGAAGTTGAATCAACTTCTTAAATTTGGATTCGATGATTTCAAATCTGCTCCACCTTAAACATGGTCTTGGCAATTCTTTTACAATTTACAAAATTATTTCAATCAACACAATAGAATGGTTAAAGTTAAGAAATTAGGACCACATATATAATAAGCATTAAAGCTTTACAAAATGTCAGCATGCATTAAGGTCTCAAGTATAAAAAGTTAATGTCCTAAATAAGAACATTTAAAAAAAAATAAGAACATTTTAAAAATAATTTAATAGAGGTTCAGGGAGATAGCTCTATAGAATAAGCCCCTGCCTGGCAAGTGCAAGGGCCTGAGTTCAATCCCCAGTTCCACAAAAATAAATAAATAAAATAATTTAATAGAATGATTTATGCATTCTATTGTTATGAAAAATACTCATTAGTTTATTTAAAGTCATACTCTTTGCTAGCATAAAAACATTTAGAGCCCCTCAGTTATTAATCATAAAAATATTATTCATTGCTGATGAATTAATTCCCATACTGAGAGCAAAAGACTTCAAGCAAATTTAAATGAAAATTAAGTATAAACAGCACCTAATTAATGAACTGGTTAACTGTTCTTTTCCTGCTGAGAAAATAGCATTCCTTGTTATAAGCCTTAAATAAAACAAAAGCCACAACCTCAGTGTATAATGCAGTGGGAATCGTAACAAAAACTCCCTCCAAGATCTGGGGTGAAAGCTTGGTGGTCTAAGAGCCTGCCTGGCAAGCGCAAGGACCCGGGTTTGATCCCTGGTGCCACATGCTATGTGGGCTCTGGAAGCCATGCTGGCCTCTAACACCAGGCATGGTGGCAAAGGCCTATAATCCCAGCACTGGGGAGGGTGAGACAGGAAGATCACTATGAATCTGCATCTTATTTATTAATTAAAAAATTCCCTCCAAGCATCAAGTTATGTGAAAAACAGCATTGACTCACAGGCTGCTTTTAGAAAAGCATTATAAAACCCATCTGTACACAACATGACAGCTTCTACTTTAAGTTTTCAGGGAATCTACTCCATTAGGAATTAAAGTCTATGGCCGTATCACCTTCAACGTGCCCAATCTCCTCTGATCTCAGAAGGTCAGCTGGGTTGGGCCTGGTTAGTATTTGGATGGGAAAAATTAAAATCAATCACTTTTTAAAAATTAAGGAACTACAATGAAAGATCTGTGCCCAGCAAAGAACTGAGTCACCACATAAATTAACAGAGTAATCACCAGCAGACCCGCTTTTGTTTTTATTTTCCAATGGTGGCAATTTTGTTTACATAAATAAATCAAGGTGTAAGTTAAGCAGAATTTATTGAAAAGTGACCAAGAAACAAAAAAATACATTTTACCTACAAAACATTTTAACTTTATATATAGTATGAAATATAGCTGCAGTTTATTGGTCTCTGTGTTTGAAATACCAACACCAAAGTAACTGGCTTTTCTGTTTAATCTTCTATGTATAGCAGATTTACCTCTTCAGTTAGAAAGGCTATCTAAAACAAGTAACAAATCTGGAAAGACAGCCAAGCTATATTCTGAGATTTGAATGAATAATTCTGTCCTAACTTATTTTAAGGGAAATGTTATAAATCAATAAATGCTAAACATTTGATACAGTTCTCTTGAATGAAATAAAAATTCTGAGTTGTATCACAAACTTTCATAAAATGACACCTTATTTCACAGATAATTATTAAAAAGATACAAGCACAATTTGAAAATAGGAATTTATCCCGTTTTATGTTTCTGAAAAAAAAAAATCAGTACACACCAAATCAACCAAGTTCAGTGAATCAACTAAATCAATTCAAGGACACTGTATGTCTTCAGAATAATCACTAAACATACAATTATCATATCAATGAGAACAAAAATGTTAGCTAACTGAAACCTTTTTTTTTTTTACAATAGGTTAAAGTAGTTTTTACAAAATTTTAACATCATGAATTTAAAAAACAAGCAGTATTACTGTAAATGCAATATGTTTACATAGTAATATTCTAATAATTAAGATTTTTGAATGGAAAAAAGAATTAAATTTATTTTACACTCTGGAGATCACACTTCTGCTTTTCAGATAAGTAAGAAAAACAGATTCTACAATCCCCAAATATATTATCTATTTATTTCCTTGCTCATTTTTGTGGTGCTAGTGCTAGAACCCAGAGCCTTCTGTACACTAGGCCAGGTCCCCAGCACAGGGCACATTCCTGGGCCCTGTCATTTCCTTTAATCTCATTTCATTTTCTGATACTGCTTTGAATGACAACTAATAAATAAAATAGACTTGCCAGCACCTCTGTGTTTCTGTCAAGGTAGTCTGACTAAGGAAGAAGGCCCCTGCCTCACCTTCAATCTAACTAAACTCTAATCATCTTTATGTTTAAGGCCAACTTCATGTTCTTCCCCTCTGCCAAGTTTTCCGTGTACCAGTTACACCACTGGCTTGTGGCACCCTCCAATGAAGCACTCCTGCCTGCAGGTACAGGCTACTTTTGACACCTCCCTCAATAGTGTCTGGATCCCCTGAAAAGGGCAGCATCCATACTTTCTGTCATAGCTGACCATGACGATTAAACACCTAGTGAACTTCTACTGATTTACTTACTACTGGGACAAATATTAACTCTATTAATTTCAAACACTATGCGGCTAGGGATGTAGCTCAGTGGCAGAAGTGCCTGCCTATCAAGTACAAGGCCCTGTTTGATTCCCAGTTAAAAAAAAAAACAAACAAAAACAAAAACAAACCCAAAAACCACCCAAAATTTAAACAATATTCACTTAATTTTTTATGAAGAAACTTCATTAGGTTCCAAGGTAACTTTTTAATGATAAAGATTGATTTTTTTGCATTTTTTGTATTTCAAAATGTCTTGCAATTAAATGAATTACTATTCAGAGTCTCCTGCTTTTCATACAGAAATACTGTGCACCAGTGATACAGGTGAAGAAGTTCAGTGAGTTCTCCTGCAGGAGAAATTCACAGCATTCCTAGGAGCAACACAAAATCTGGCCTTGTCCACACCACTCTGGCTCTCCAGGGCCAGCTTACTTGTCACCTGGGACAGGTGCTAAAGACCTAATTTATTTTTTAAATCTACCTTATGCAGTGATAACACTTTTATTTTTGATATAAGCAATGTAAGATCAACTGTTCAGACACAGTTTCATTAACACTGGATAAAACAATATTTTCTTTCAATTGACTTTTGCAAATGAAATCCAAAGTAACATAGACCTTATTTTCTTTTGGCTAAAGATTTGCAAAACGACCCCATTCACTTATTACTTTCACTTTTCTATCTCCCACAATACTTTTGTGTGTTTATACTTCTCCAACAGTAACCTACTACTTTACCTGAAGATAGCCTTTGATTTGCTTCCATCTCAGATGTTATTTTTAAAAACAACTTAATGAGACAGAATTCACAATGTGCCAGTTACTTATTTTAAGTCTCCAAATCTGAAGTACACATTTTTTTTGGTTCGTATTTTCTAAATGTTCAGGAGAGTTGTAGATACTGAGTCCAAGCCTGGCCCTCCCTCCTATGTCCACAAAGGCCCATGGGTGGCCTTACCAATCCCTTGTCTTGCAGGCACATCATCAGCGTGCACACATCTCCCGTGGACTGATGGTTCACCAACATCACGGCTTCATCTTTTGAAATTGATTTGACATCTTCCCCCCATTCCACCACTGTAAGAGTAAAAAGTTCCAAAGTATCATTTTAAAGACCTTTACAGGACCAGAAAATTTCTGTTAAAAAGTGAATAAATTAGTGTATATCACCTAGCTAAATTTGTGAAGGTTTAGAACTCAGACTATTCCCTATAAAAACCAGAATGCTGATACAGTTTACACAGCCCCAAATTACCATTAAAATGTACAATGGCCATACCTTTGATCTGGAAGTCCTACTTCCTAGAACTTACCCTGCAGAATTCAAATAGGATTGGGCAAACAGGCAAAGATACAGGAATAAAGGATATTTATTACAACGTAAATGCTGACTAATAGAATGGACATGAAAATACTAATAGAAGAGAACAAATCCATTAAAAGAATGCCAGGTATCTTTATACATTAATTCCCATAAAACCATATTACTAACTCTAAGATATATTTTGAGGGTTCTGTCATAGGCTGCTGGCTCATAACTTCCTCTCCATAGTAAGCTGCAGAAACCAGAATTGATCTTCTCTTTATCTTCCCCTTCTTCTGACCTACTGTGTCTGACTGCAGAGGGCAAGACTCCCATTTTAGAAGGGGTCCTGACTCACACCAAGAAGGAAGAAATGCCACACAGAAGCACCTGGCTGGGTTTCCTCACACATCTCTTAGTGCTAGATGCACAGTGAATCCCAGAGAATCAGCCCTGGTTTCCAAGAGGTGGAAGGAGGGTGGAGGGGGCCCTCCAGCAGGCATGTAGCCCAGTGCCCTGGCCTTATACCTTGCTCCACATGCCGCTTCACCAGAAGTCTTTGTATCAATCTTTATAATAGGGAAATGTGTTTCCCCAAATCCTGCGAATTGCTTTAGCAAATTCACAGAACCCAAGGTATGGCATGGAAAGCTGATTTTATAATCAGCAGGCCAGAAGTGCAGGTAAAATAACCTGAGTTTGGCATCTATACCCTCAACCTGTGGGATCTGACACAATCTCCACGTTGATGGTGTCAGCAAGCGAGGTTAGAGGGCACTTGACTGGCATCCACAGAAGAATTGTCTGCTTGCATAATTTGTGGGAGGGGGAGAATGGCCCTATGTCTAGAAATGATCAGTGCTATGTGAGCACAGTAGGAAAAACTGATTTGAGTTTTATTTTTTTACCGTATCTCTGGACCAACTAGCACAAGGCAAATCACAGTATATTTAAGACAGCTGATCTTTTTAAAGAAGGAGTAAAATGTATGTGGTACTATTGTGCTTTGAATTGTAAAAGGACTCCCAAATGCCCATATGCTAAAGGCACGGTCCCTAGCCTATGGTGCTAATGCACGCTGGGACCTTTAAGAGGCGGGGCTTCACGGAAGGAGGGCAGGGCACTGGGGGCTCCCCCTTCTAGGGCTTAGAACCCTCATGACTTCCTCTCTCTCTGCTTCCCAGCTGCCAAACAGAGGGTAACTTTGCTCTTACAGAACCAAATGACCATGGACTGAAACCTCTGGAAAGTGTGAGCCAAATGAGGCTCTCCTCCTTACAAGTTGTCTATTTCAGGTACTTTGTCACAGCAACAAAAATCTAAGCCAACTACCCTATGTACTGAAACATCCGGGAGAAGTAACTCAAAACTATTCATACTGATCATCCTTGGGAGGAAGAGATAAATCACAATGTATCTGTGCACTGGGCTACCATGCAACCACATTATTCATGTACTAGAATAAAAGCAAAGTCTAGAGCAGTGTAAAGGATGCTACTAGCTATGTTTTTAAAAGGAGGGAAAATCCATTTACTATGTATAAAGACTTTCCATATCATAGTCCTGTTGATAACCTTATACAGTTTGTATCTAGATGTCTCCCCAAACCCTCATGCAGTCATAAGTTAGGCATTTTGGAGATGGATGGATTTAGAGTGTGTGGTTCTGGGGTCAGAGGTATATGATTTCTAAATCAACCTACTGACTGGTTCTAGGGAGGATTAAGTATACCATATCCCGAGTACACTATCATTATATTTAGTGGACCAGGGATGTAAGGATGTTATCTGCGATTAACTACTGAATGCAGAGCCATGCTCTCTCTGCAGGATCCTTCCTTGTCTCTTAGCTTCTGGGGAGGTTGTCTAGGTACCGGCTTATAAATAAGCCACTCTGCCTGGCATCACCTGGTGTTCTACCTCTGTGTCCATGTCCAGGTTTCTCTCTTAAAAATGTTCCAGCCTGCTGGGTGTGGTGGCACATGTCTGTGATTCCTGCCTTGGGAGGCTTGGAAAGGAAGATCATTAGTTTGAGGTCAGCCAGGACTAGATAGCAAGCTTAAAAACAGGCTGGATTACATAGGGAGACTGTCTCAAGAAAACAAAAATGAAAGGAGGTCAGTCAGGTTGGATTTAGGGTTAAGACCCACAGGACCGCATCGTAACCTGACTGACAGATTCTGGATGCATGTGGATTGCAGGAGATGTGCTAGCCAACCCAGTAAAGAGGGATCCAAATTCAATTATACTTTTATATTTAAACTAGTCATATTTATTGGTCTCTATAATATATAAACACATAAAACATATATATGTATATATAACAAGATACATTCTGTGTAAAAAAATCTTAATTTTATTTTCAGTTATTGCAGTTATTACATGGGCCCTGGCCATGGTGTATTCTGTTCTCTATTCATTTCACAATCTATAGTAAAGGGAAGTTTGGTTCCAGCACCCTAGAAGCAGATACAGGAAGTTTACAAAGTCTGAGCTCAGCCTGGGTAACTTAGTGACTTAGGAAAAACTGTTTTTTAAAAAATAAAACATGGGTTGGGGGTGCAGCTCAATACAAAAGCCTTGGATTCAAATCCCAGTATAGAAAGAAAAAAAATTGATGAAGAATAGTATGCATGTTTTTCTGTTTCCATTGAAGGGTTGTTTTAGTTACTTTTCCTCATTCCTGAGACAAAATATCCAATATCCAAAGTTAAAAGAGGAAAGATTGATTTAGCTTACAGTTTGTAGAAGGTTTCAGTCCACAACTGGCTGGCTCCAAGGCAGGGTGGCAGAGCAGAAGGGCATCACAAAAGAAACAGTTCTAAAGCTAAATCTTAACCAAGCAATAGGATTGTTCTCACATTAAAGAATAGAAACTATGGATGCTTGCCAGTTCTTAAATTCCACTTGATTAAAAGAACAAAAATATTCTAACACACTGTTCTTTAAGATGAATTCTCAAAAAAGAACTGGGTCAGGTTCACTATTCCTAATGGGAATAAAAGGGCACCTGAATCCAAACTGAAAGCTTTCCAGTTGTAATGAATTTACAATTCTTATTAAAGAACAAAGGTAAAGATTATTCATGGGGGCCAGGGAGATGCCTCAGTAGAATATGTGCTTGCCTGGCAAGTGCAAGGGCCTGAGTTCAATCCCTGGTTCTGCCAAAGGGGAAAAAAAAAAGATTACTCACCTATTACACACCACTCTAACTTATGTATCCAAAAGTTATAGGTTAAAAATGATCACATCCCAGAAAGAAAACAAAAACAATATATGAAAAGTTCCTTAAAACTGCTGCTGAAATCATTATGTTGACCTACAACATAGCATGTGAAGAAGGTTTGCTTCACACAAACCCATAACTTTTTTTCAAAGGCTCTACAGAAATTATGCCTGCCAACTATTTTATCATTTTTGCCTGAATTTTCTCATTTATAAAACGTTATTAACATCATTAACATCACTCAGACACATTGTGAAAGCAACAAGATCCTGTGTAAAAGAATCACAGGAGGCAAAGCTCCTTTTGAACTTTTACTGACTAAACAAGCCATACATCTTCTGTGTTACATGAGGTCAGCCTTCTGATGTGAACAGTGCAGACACAGGAGCCAAAACACCCCATGAATGACTCTCACCTTGCTAAAAATCTACAGCTTGCAGCAGCCCAGGTCAGAAGTGGACTGCACTGGACTTCCCCAAGGTTAGGGATTTCCAGAGGTAGTGGGGAGAGTGAGGGTGAAAGGGAAGGGTGGGAGAAGGGCTGAGAGGGCAAGAGACAATTAAGAGGAAAGGGGAGGAGGGAGGCAGTTACACAACAGGCACCTGAGGTGCTGCTGGATCCTCCCACCACACAGCACTCTCTTCAGACTTGCAGAAGTCAGTCCCAGGCAAATCTGATGGATATTTCTAACTAAGAACCAATGAATAAACCATTGTTAAGCTTTATTTTATTATTTTTAAATGAGTATACAGAACCACCAAGGAATTGGTATATTGTTTTTGGCACTTAAAATTTAAGAGTTGGGGAGTAAGCCTTAAGCTGTCACTTAACTAAAATAATAATAGTAGCACACATTATGGAAGCAGCCACTTAAAGAACTGAGCTAGGGCCAGGCCCCCTACATTATAAGGTAGATATTTAAGTAAACAGTAATAATCTTAATAGGTCACATTTATGGAAGGCTTAATCTATGCCAGCATTAGTAATTAGTGATCACAGTTTTCTTACAAAACCACAAATGTACATATAGTATTAGCTCCAATTTACAAATGAGGAAAACAAGACAAAAAAGGTTTAAGTACTGTCACTGCTGACAGGCCAAGAGCCTTGAGGGCAGAAACTTGGATAAACTGCTCACATACATGATTATGCCAGGGAGTGCAGGTAGCAGGCCATATTCCAAAGTCCTCAACAAATAAGGCCTGTGGGTGGCAGCAACAGGGGGACAAAGAGGGATACAGCTAAAGAATCTTTTCTGAATGAAAGCTGATTAGTACTCAAGTCTAAAGCAGCCAAGGATATTTAAGAAAACCCAGTATTATCAGTGGGCCCAGATACAGATACCTTAAATTTAATATGCTCATTGTAGGCTTGGCTCTTTTCCCGAATCTTCTCCATCTTGACAAATGACTCATTCACTTAATTAGCTCAAGAGAAAACTTCAGACCACCTCTGATTATACCCTTTCCTTAATCCTTCATATTTAATCCATCTCTAAGTCCTATAAGCTTTTCCTGAAAAACACAACCTGCATCCTGTTTCCACTAAA